CATTCTGGTTTCTGTACCTTCCCTGCTGTTGTTGATCTTGGGTAATGTCACTTAACCTCTCTGTGCCTTAGTTAGCTTCGTAGTAAAAAAGGGATTTTTTTTTCTATGCAGCACATTATTGCATAGAGTTGTTATGAGGATTAAATGAGTAATTTTTCATGAAGCATTTAGAACAGTGACTGGCACATGTTAAGAGCCAAGTGAGTTTTGGTTAAACTAATAACAAAAGTAATTTAAGATGATATGTACGTATTTCAAGTAAACATTTTTATTGACTCCACTAAAAGACAGTAAAATAACAAGAGGCTTGCACCTACCCATAAAAGCCCCCATGAATGCGACAGCCACAATGCAGACTGATAAAGAGAATGTCAAGTTGGCAACTCAAACACCACAAGTAGCGTTGACATTAAATAGGTAATTTTTCGGTGAGTAAGCTTCTGAAACAAGAGAAAGGGCAATCTCCCTCCAATTTACAGGGAAGTTATATTTCAGCGTACATTAAAATTCAGAGCATTCATGCAGAAATGGGCTCAGCTCAGACACTTACAAACAGGTCTTTTTCCTGTCCACGCCTTCAGGGACTGTCCTGCCATCATAGGCTGTCCAGCATCCTGGGCCCCACCCACTAAATGCCAGCGGAGCCCCCTCCACCCAGTCATCATGAAAACTGAAAGCACCCCCAATGCCCAAAACAGTGCCCAGGAGGCCCCTGGGTTCCACACCCACTGCCAGAGGGACTTTTCCAAATCCCAGATTGTGTCTGCAGCTGTTCACTCCTAGTTACTGTCAGGAAAGTCCAAATTCCTGAGCCTGGTGCCCAAAGTCCTCATAAGTGAGCCCCCTGCTTCCTCCCCCCGGAGCCAATCTACACCGTCACCCCACCCACTCCCCTGCCCCCTGCACACTCAGACAGGGCACATAGCAGGTGATGAATTAATACACCCAAGGGCCCTTCAGCCCTGGCCGTGGGGATCGCACATCTGGTGGAAAGGACTTTTCTGGGAGGTGCTTCCTCAGAACCTGCTGGGGTTCCCAAGGTCAGAGAGCTCAGCTGCCAGACAGCAGTTTCCCACAGGAGTTAGGGCCTTGGAGTGTGAATAGGAGTTTTCCAGGTAGACGGAGGCAGAAGGCAACTTGGCTTCAGACCCAGCATGGGCCAGGGTCAGGTGAGAGCGAGGGCATGCGCTTCCACCACTGCAGACAGGTGAGTACTAGCTGAGGGCAGGATGTGGAGGGGCTGTGATCAGAGGTGAGGCCGGTGCGTCAACAGAGGACAACTTGTGTAGAGTTTGTAAGGTGCCCAGGAGACTGGGCTTTGTCCTGGGGGCACTGGGAGCCATGGGAAGGGTTAAAGGGGGTGACACAGTCAGGTTGCATGTGGCAGAGTTCCCTCTGGGAGGAGTGTGGCAGGTGCACGGCATGAGGGCAGGAATGGAAGGATGCCAGGGAACGGTCACAGGTCTGAATTAGGGCAGAGGAGGGTGAAGAGCAGGGAATTTGTGGGGCAGAAACAGCAGAACTTGGTGTCTGCTGATGAGAATGGAAACAGGTGCTGGTCAGATGGCTTAGGGAGGGTGGTCCAGACAAACCCAGTCTTCTGCAGCATCAAGGACAGGCTGCAGGCCTCTCTGGAGACACTAGAGGGAGCTCCAGGATAGGTTAGGCTCCCCTCTCCCACCTGCTGCCAGTCCCCACCCGCTCCTGGAGGGTGATAGGACCCGCCCTGT